CCCAGATTGGCATAAGCCGCTCTGGCTTTCACTATACGTGCATTGATCTCATCACTCACGCCACCACCAGCACTTATGCAGCTACCTAGATACACGAACTTCTCGACTACTTCTATCTGCTCACCATCCAGAGTGAGTACAGGATTAGAATCCTGCCAGTCTTGTAGAAGTACTTTGCACTTCGAAGGTGCAAAGCACATACCATACCTACGGACACTGATTGCCAACTGATTAAGTGCGGATTGCATGGCTTGGGCATTCTCGCACAGTAAGACAATATCATCCGCATACTCAAGGTCGAGAAGTCTTTCTCCAGGCAGCAGATCCACACCACCATTACTTACGTCCGTCAGAGCTGTTTCCAGAATGTCATCGATGGCAAAGTTGAAGAGAAATGGTGAGATTGGGCAACCCTGCCTAACTCCACTGCTTGAATGGAATAGTGGAGAAAGGTGGTTGTATGCCCTCATTTTAAGTAATAGAAATATTTTAAATGAACACAGTAAATGCAGATAAGAATATTATGAAAGACAACATGAATGGTACTTAAAATTGTTTTAACTTAATTATAAAAGGTATGAGTTGCTAGACAGTTGATTGTACGGATTACATTGTTAGTAAAAATGATTCACCATGACGTATTTGTTAAATTTAACAAAGAAACTATATTTGACATATATCGATTAACATTGGAAATTTTAATAAACAGACAAAATGTTTTACTGGTGAACTACGATTATATTTTAGAATGTTGTAGTTCTATTTATACTACTATATGATATGAGTAGTTTGCAGTTATTCTGCATTGCATCATATTCTTCCAGTCAAATTGAATACATTTAAGCTTACCTATTTTAATCGTTCAAACCCTTAGTTAGCATCAACAGATAAAAGTTTCACAAAAGGAAGATTCAAATAAGTATATAATTTTAATGTGTAAAAACTGTTCTGTTTTATCGATTATTCTGGGACATGAAAATTGCGCACCTTCCAGATCAAGTTCCTTTCACAGCATGGAAAGGTGTCTTTGTTTATTTCATGTTAAGCTAATTGGGAAATTTATAGAATTTAGAGTCAGACTGCTTGCTTATTTTAGTTCTTATACTTATCGAACCAGTTCTGTAGGTTTGACCTTTAGAATGTGTCGTCTACTCTGTGAATTAATCCCACTTCCTTTTTCTTAATCGGTAAACACAAACAACTTCTTGTTCTCGACAAAAACCTAGCTAAAATCCCTCAAAACTCAAATCTCTATAAAACTTATTGGGTAAATATTAAAAAGAGATTGACTTAACCGGACATCTGTTGCGTGAACTAATAGCTTAGTAGTACTCTCCAGGTCCTAGGTATGATGTCTGAAATATCCAAGAGTATATACTACTGAAAGATTTTACATTTCAGAGAGATAGATACACGAGTATTTAAAATTGTTGTTGATCTGACGTCATTTCAATTGCTTTACTAAATGTCACTAATTTATATACATAGTTGAGTCTGCCTTTTCCATCAGTCAACAAATGATTAACCATGTCATGAAAAGGAACGAGATTACGTTCAACCTTTAGAAGAAATTGTCCATAAAATCACCTTGGTAAATAATAAAACTTGTTCAGTTTAATGACCACCTTTATGATAAATTTCCTGATGTGACTTTCGAAACAAACCAAATGATAAAAACTGTTGCTCATCAATAATATTAAATTATATTACCGTTAACATTATGAATTGAAATGTATGCACCATTGGATTCTAACTTATTTACTAAGTTATGTAGGTGTTCATAATAAAACCTGATGGTTCACAATTAAACTTTGTGTAAAACTTTGTACAGGGAATAGATACTGTTAAAGATTCCGAAATGTCAACACAATAGCTGTCAAAGTGTTTTTCTAGTTTTTATTTATCAGTTATGATAGAGGTTCACCTGATAAATTTCCCAATTCCTATTTCATTTTATTTATCTATTATCTTCATGTATTTAAATTCTTGGTAAACATGATTATTTTTGATTTTTTTGTTTTATTTTAACCAAATGATTTCTATGGAACTTGTAGTAACTAACATATGTGAAGCATAAATTAAAAAAAACAAAATTTATAAAGTTTCAAATTAGGAAAGATAAATTATTAATAATAATTTTTATACAAACATTTATCTTTATTCAAAAGATTTTTTTTCTTACTAAAATATTGAATATTGAAATCATTGTTCTCATTGAAATCAGTTCATCTTAAGGTCATTTGACATGAAAAGTACAATCACATGATCTACCAAAAATAGAATCAATATCTTCAAAAGCATGTGACCAAGGTTGAATGAAGTATATAGTAAAAAAAATTTTTTTACCTTATTTTATCATGGTCATCATTCCAATTATTTGCGACTTATTTTTTTTTAGGAATTTTTTTTCTCACTTATTGTTGAAAATAAGCTAAGTACACTTCAATACTGATCATAGTAACTATATTACTGAATATGTATAACAGGAGAATTGAAATAAATTAAATTAGCTTAAACATGTTGCCAAATCATTAGTTGATTAGATTTCTATTTCACAAAATCATACTAATTTAATGTAACTCACTTGTTAATAACAGGTTTATGTACATAGTTTTCAACTACACTCTTTGTATTGAACGGTAGGAATATTACCCAAAAAATATAAGATGGTGTAGATGAAACTGATCAATCAGTCAATTGAAGCATAGAACCCATGTACAGTAGAACATGAATACTATCGTAATCGTATCCTTTATTTCTGGATGTTTTACATTGTTATTTGCGAGTTCTTTAGATATTAACAAGAAATAATTATTCTGAAAAAGTTTGTGATAGGGTTTCAATGATCTCATCAAAACTAAAGTTACGTGGATTCTTTGGAAAAATAAAATTACTATGGCGTTCGTGTTCTTTTATATCCAGTTTTTGTAAGGTTGTTCTAAATATTGTAGTGTCATTTAGTTTGTAGAAATCAATGTAGAACAGGTCTTCGTACTAATTTAATAATCAAAATAAAATTCATGAAAAGCATTGATTCCTAAATCTGTGTTACTTGTAGTTCGTTCGACGTAGGGTTTTGCTAGGATTAACACATTTTCTGCATGATAGCTCCAATAATTCGTATTTAAGCCTGTTAAAACCGTTTCTTCTGCCACTCCAGATAGGCTTCCAAACGTTCAAAAAGTACTTGACGTAGCTTATCCGTCTCCAATTGATATGTTCTCTATTCGAATACTTGCTAGTGACTTCCTATTTGATTTCTGTACCTCCGGACTACTTTTAGACTTGAACCCAGGTAGTAGAGAAAAGTTGCATAGTAAGAAAGGAACCTTTACTTCAAGGTCAATTTATGTACAAAACATCTGTCTTCACAAGCGATTTACATTGTTCTAATTTTTTACTTTCCATTATGTCCAACCTGTCTCACAATTGGTTACCTTTATCCATTTACAAATGACTAAAAAGTTCATGAAATTTGTTCATAGCCATTTGGCTATTTGTTTAACGACTGTACGGAGCTGTACTTTTAATCGCTCAATTAACCTTGCTCATTGACTCTAATTAAAATTTTTAAATCTTCTTAGATCACTTGTGTTTGATGAGTCTCTTAATACAAAGGGTCATAACCAAAATATTGCTTGATATTTTATTTTGAATAAACAATTTGTTCTGTTATCAATCATAAAGCGTCACTTACTCTGATTTTAATATCTCCTGACGTATACAGCAGTTAATATTAATATGTATAAAATTTAGGACAAGTGATTCAACTTAAAACTAAAGTGATCCGTATTGAATAATTTTTCATATTGTGTTGTATTAGTGATAGACTGAAATAAAAGACGCTATCATGTAGTTGTGTTTATGGTATTTAAAATAACCATTTGTTTATTCAAATGTCAATATGTGAAACTATAGACGTTCAACTTAAACTTTTAACGAATTGACCTTTATTCGTTTTCATACATGAATGTCTTGATTGACGACCGTGAGTGCTACCAAAAATGTATCGCATACATACATTATACTTTTTTCAGATTAGCTTTGTATTCTCATTACATCATCAGAATTTATAAAAGGAACTAAATAATTTAAATATTAGTGAATTCATAAGCAAAGATGAATAGTGGTTAGCAGTGGAATCCATGACCTGCGTTTCGTCCTATTTGGGGATCGTCAGCTGGTTGTGCCTGCATCCCAGCACGAAATGCCCGTTCTGGATTCCACTATTAGCAAGTATCCATCTTTGCTTATAATGCTTGTGACTTAAGGCAATATCGAGACAATATGCACAGTATGCACATATGCCAATAAGAGACTAACCAAATACAGTCCTCAACATCAATCGGAAGATTCGAGCAAACAATACAAAAAGAATTAATGAATTCACTTAAACTGAACATAGGTTAGTTTGTGTATAATTTTGTTTTTATGCAAGTTTACATGGTAGAATCAACAATTATCATCTACCTATCACTTGAATCATCAAAATATCCAAATCAGTCAAGAAAAGCATTGACCAATATATATATATATATATATATATATATATATATATATATATATATATAAAGATGAGAAGTTAGGGCAATCCAGATAAAATATTAAATCATAACATTAATATAGTTAAAATTTGGTATATTCACTATTTGTTTTTCTTATCATTTGGCCTTGTATTAACATTTGTTATCGTAAGACATAGCTTATTCTTAAGCTTCAAGAACTCATTTGTTTGATGACCTTGAATAAAAAATAATTCGCTTACAATAAGTCTTGCTCACACTCTTGGATATGATTTTCCATATACCCTTTAGATATCGAGCGATTTGTCTGATTACACTCAATATATCATTAATAGATATTAAATAAAAGTTTTATTGCATAGATAAAAATGTATAGCCGGAACTTCAGTAAACATTCATAAAGAAAATAATGTATTTCATTCACTTTGTTTCTTTTACTGACTTTCTTCATCTTTTCAATTTTTCTATTCTCTCTAGGCTCAAAAATGTAGACGCTCAAGTTCATCAGTGCTAGAACCGTTGGAAGATATGGTCACATGTCCAATTGATTTAAATTTTTTAGATAACCCAAAATTATTACCATGTGGCCATGCCTTCTGTTGTAAATGTTTAAATAAATATATGGAAAAATTGCCAACATCACCAACCAATGCTAGAAATACTACTACTGTTTCCAATAATAATGGTCATAATAATCATAATAATAACACGAATACCGGTAATCTTCAGGATCATAGAAATGATAAATCCAATGAAAAAACATCATTTCCTTGTCCAATATGCCGTGCATTATGTCCAATTCCAGCTACACGTAATGCTGATTCATTTCCCAGCGCTTTTAATCATAAAGCAATTTTAGAATTTTTAAAAAGTAATCATATTAATAGTTTTGTATCACGTATGAATAATAATAATAATGATAATAATAACGGAGTGATCGAACAAACTGATAGCAATGGTAAAAGTCCAGTACCTACTCGTAAAACATCATTACAAGTTAGTTCAAGAATGTTAAATTACATAGTAGACGATATTGCATCAAGACAACGTGAAGGACGAATGAATGCAATTGATCGTGCTGTAATCATTGATGAATTTAAAGAGATTTTAGTAAATTTACAAGCATTCGATGATAAATTACCATTAACATCTTTAAATAATAATAAACAACATTCATTAAATGTAAATAATATAAACTCATTAGATAAAAATACCAGTCATGATACTAATAATAATGGTAATAATAATGGTTGTACTACTATTAATCAAAATACTAATCCACGTTCCGGTACACCATCTACTATTTCACCAACTAATTCAATACGTCATTTTGGTCGATTTCATGCTGCAGCATCACGTATACGTAGATTTACAGCAAGTTCAATATCATCAAATGATTTATTACCGATAGAAACAACATCATCTTATATATCATATCGTGATGCTGAAGGTTTACGTATAATGATGGAACGTAATTCTAAATTTCATGTACTTACCAAAGGTAAAGATTGTTGTATTATGCGACCAGGTGAAATATATCAACCTGTGGATATGAAATTAATGATCAATCATGAAGATAACAATTGTAATATACATCGTTTTACATTAACAACAAATTTAAAATGTGATGAATTATTATTATGGAAACAGCAATTACATTTTAACAATGGATTTTTCAATCTTATTCATAATAATCATAAATATGGATTAAATCAAATCAGTAGTCAAATTATTGTTGATAATTCAAATCCGATTAAAATTTTGTATTTACGTTTTCATGGTTCTGTGATTTATTTAACGGGAATTATTACACCGAATACATCAACTGCATCTACATTGGATGAAGCAGAAGGATTAGACTCTATAGAAAAGTCGGAATTTGGTATCCTAGTCTGTTGTACAATTTCTGATGAAGGTCATCCGAATAAGAATAATACAGCTACTTTGATCAATGGTGCTGGTATGGATAATAATAATAAAGCCAATTCTGAATCAAATCAAAATACATCATCATCGACTAATCCATTCCCAATTATAGCTACTTCAAGTTTATTTTATCGTGATACGGTTGGTTTAGAAAGACAGAATCAACCAATTGTCTTTGGCATAGATATTGATCATACTAATGGTGATATTTATGTTGCACAACCAGCGAATGCAATGATATGTCGTTTAAAATCGAATGATTTAACTAGAATTGATCGTACCTGGTATTTAAATGATCCACAATTATCACCTTACTTTTTATGTTTAGCTAAAAATGAACAAAATGTTTGGGCAACATGTCCAACAGAAGATAAAGTGTTGATTCTAGATATTGATATTGATGGATATTTTCATTTTACACCAAGTATTTCATTCAATATAGTACCTGGACATATAATTTACACATCAGATAATCGTATCATATTATTAGATCAGTCTAATTATGACTTGTATTGGATAACAAGAATTGAAAAAGCGATTTGTGTCCAACGTTTATATTATAATATCGGTAGTCATCAAGCAAAGAAATTTCAAATTATGGCTATACAACCAGTATACAGTGATGAAATTGTTCACACTAATAATAATAATAATACTACTAATACCACGAGTAGTATTAATCCTTTATCCCATTCAAATCATCCCCATCAACAACAAACTAATCATAATAATGGTAACACACACAATCATTCTAATGAAAATGGTAATAATAAACTGAAATTATTTTCAAAACATTCCTTTACTACTGTTACATCATTATCACCATCATCACAGTCAATTGATAAGCTACGTGGTGGTATTATGTGTGCGCATAATTACGGCTGTACTGTGATTTATCCACAAAAATTATTTTCACGTAATAAATCAGCTAAAATATCATCTTGCTTAAATTTATGCGGTAGGATATAACGATAACATAAAAGAAACAGGGGTTTTCGTAATTTCACAATTTTTCTCTGTTTTAAACAAAAGAAAAGAGGAAACTAGTCAAAGAGTGTGGAATAAAGATAAATAGTAGAATAATGACCCAGGATGAAAGTAACATTCAGTGAAAATTTGTTTATTTTGCTTATTTGTGTTTCTCTTTTTTTTATTACTGGAAAATAATTTCCTTCAAATGAATTTATTGTTGCATTTATGTTTTGTAAAATTACAAAACAAACGCAAAAAAAACAAAACAAAACAACAACAGTCCAACTCATTTCTATGAATTCATATTAATTAATTCATAGCTTCTACCTGTGTGCCTCTTCACATCACTTAATACATACACATGTTTTATCGGTAATTCAATTGAGCGCATTGAATACAGCATGTAACATCACTGTCATACCTTTCTCTTGAAGTTATAAATAAGATATGGGAAGAGAGAAAGGGAGGACATTTTCTGGTTTTGTTACTTAAGATTTTGAATTTTTAATGATCAAATTATCATCTTGTATTTATTTCACAGTTACTGACCCATTGTTTTTTGCCACGTCTATTTCATGATTTGTCTACTCCTCTTTTTTTATTTAAACAATTCATATTATTATTGTTATTTTAAATTTTAGTTTGTAAATGGTTTTACATAATACAATCAGTTTGTATAGCTGTGTATGATGGATACACTATACATTAAGAGAAATTTACCAATCTCATTATTTATCTTCAGCTTGTCATGCATAATTTATAACAAAAACAAGCTAAGAAATTCTATTTGAAAAGATAATGTTTTTATTTTATTTGAATAAATCACTAAATTAAGTGTAGGATTTAATTAATCCTACAAATATTCTACTAGAACTGTAAATGGGATACTGGCGACCCTAGAGACTATGTGAAAGCTATAGTCAGAACACAGATAATTTGGCTTTAAACTTTATCTGTTTCTAAACGTAAAAACAATAAGATTAGTACAATAATTAAAGGAATTATAGTTATTAAATGGGACGCACCAACATACCGACCACTATGTGTCACTAATATAAAGGGATAATGATGTCCTTCAATTGACAGGTTACATTCAACAGGGATAGTCTACAGACACATCAGACCAGATTACCGTGGTGGGAACTTAAGCAACGATTTGATTGATTAGTTATGGACATAAATAACACTAAAACTGGACTAGACTACGAATGCTAACATGTTGGAGATGTGGTGTCCATAATATTGGAATTGAGTTGAATTATCTTCAATTGATTGGTACTGTCCGTTAAAACTTGATATCTGGTTCGTGACTTAAGGTGATATCGAGGCAGTCCGCACATAAGCCTACAAGCGATTGATCAGTTGCAGTCCTAAACAACGATGGGAAGATGCAAGCCGACAATACCAATTGAATTAAGCTTCACCCCGTTGCGCAAGCAGGTGACTATCAAGACTCAGTAGCTGGGTGGATAACGCAGTGGCGTTTGAGACGAATGGTACTGGGTTCGAGTCCCGGAGTGGACACCAACTCTGAGATGCATGTACATCCAGCTGACGAGTCCCAAATGGACGAAATGTGCGTCCTGGATTCCGCTGCTTGTAAAGCTTGTGGCTTAAGGCAATATGGAGGCAGTCCGCACATATGCTAACAAAAGACTGATCAACTGCAGACCTAACAATAATAAGAAGATACAAGCAGACAATTCCAAGTGAATTAGAGCTGAACTTATTTTAAATGTGTATTGCGTATAATTCTTCAGTTCAAACCGATTATTGGACCAACGTATTAAATATTTTCAATATTGATGCAGAAACTCTAAACTACGTAATATTAATTCGAATTTCCGAGGGAAGTTTACATTGTGAAATTTGTTCATTATGACTTACCCATGAGTAACTGGCTGTTCTAATCGTATAACTTCTTTGATTAATCATAAATTATCCGCTCTTTCATTGGCTCATACACTTTTTGTCTATTCGTTCATACTGTTTACTAAAGCGAGTTATGAAGATAGGAATAATGTGAAGACTATTCTTATTACATATTGAGATAAATTTTAGAATATCTGGGAATCAAGAGGTTACTATCCCTCAGTGAGGATCTTACGCCTGTTACTCCGAATGGAGCATAGGCAGCCGACCGGCATTCTTCAACCCATTATGTCCTCGGCCTTCCTTTCTAGTTCGATCAAATTGTTGTTCATTCTTCTCATGTCTGTTTCCATTTCTCGGCGTAATGTGTTCTTTGATCTTCATCTTCTCTTTCGGCCTTTAGAACTCCAAGTGGATTCACACTTTTAGGTTGATATAGCTATCAATACTAATACAATTCCTTGAGAAAAAATCTTTCGCAACCCGGGAATCCAGATACTGATCGCTAGCAGAATGGAAGTATGTCTTTACTAATAAATCGCATTTGTTCCTATTATAAACTCTTTTTGTGTTTTCATCTCATGCACCACTAGTGCTAACGATAGATCAAGAAGTGTAAACACCTATCTCCTAAACGCTCACTCCAAACTACACATATCGACTTTCGCTTCTCGTTGAAAATTAGTAAAAACATTGACACAGCGATAAACCTATGTAGAATACTCATAACCATCACTATCATTATTCTAGTGTCGTCAGCGCTGAACATGCTTTGCTTTCTGATTATACACGTCTCATAAATTATAGGCTCCTTTGTTTTATTTACTCAACATTGATATATAGTTATTTGCCTATATTAGCACGAAACCTAAGCTTCTGAGTAGTCTTAGGTTTGATTGATTTAATCCTATACAAATGATTTGGATAGTAATAAAAGTAGTTGACTGAGTATGAACTATTTTCGCTCTAGTCGTATTTTTTGGTTTTATTTTAGCTATTTAGTTCAGTTGCTAACCCACCATCATTGATTCTTTATATTTTTAGCTAACTTGGACACAATTTATCACTTAAATCTTAATTGGAAGAAGAAATACTTATCCAGTGTGTTTGAGTCTTAGGGCTTCGAACTATGCATAGCCTTTAGCCAAAACGTTGGCAAACAATATTCAATAGTCAAAGTTAAGACAACAACAACACATGAATAACCGATTTTTTCTAATGTTAATTATTTTACACAAACAAAATTAAATAAAAATACAATTTTCTAGAGAGAGGGGGGAAAAACAATGGTAACAATCTTATAAACTGGATATTAGTAATAATAATAATAATATTAGTAACGTAGATTTCACTACCTAGGTGTAAATCACCTCAAATATTTATACTCGCAATATTAATATCACACTAAACTCAATTTTCTTTATGAAATGATAAACAATTAACAAAACAAAACAAAGATATTCTTAAAATCAAGATTAAAGAGGTTGAAGAATATTGTAAAACATTACAATAATATTAGCGCAAAAGTATAACCGGGTATAATAGAAGTCACTACTATCATCAATTATAATGTGAAGAGAATGTTTCGAGTGAATGAAGAGGCATTTTCAAATAATAATTATACTAAATCGTTTATTATTCTAACTAATTCAGATTGAGATATACTTGGAAGCACATGTAAAATTTATATGTTCAATAAAACATATAACCAAAAACCATTAAACTAACACTATCACTAATGAGCAAACAATGTAAATGTAACAATATTCTAATCACAAAGTCTTTACAAAATAATATGAAAACAGTCTACAGATAATAATAAAGTGATTTGACAAGCAGAAATAACAAATATCTGAGATATTTTCATTGATGAAATTATAATTAGACGTTTGAATAAGATTATTCTTTGAATTTTCTGTTCTATTTTAAACTTTTAATTTAAAATTATTAAAAAAAAATAAATGAAACACGTTATAACCGTGTTTCTGATAATCATATTTATTATTCCCTGTTATTTGTGTAGGTAGATCAATGTGTAGTTGATGTGATCGTTTTGTGTATCGAATAATGACGATGATATTAATGAGTTCATTTTATTCTGTATGGTAAAGTAACTCATTAGCATGTTTGTTCCATTTAAAACAATCACAAACAACTAAATGCATACTTTCTCTTCTGAACACACACACACACACAAATGCGACTAATGAAAAGAACAAAAACTTGTACGTCATATTAAGACAAGCAAACAATGAAGTATTATTTGTCCAAAAACAGTCACAGGAAAAATTGGTTTCGTTTTCATCAACTATAGTCATTAATTAAAAAAGATTATTCAATCTACTAAGAATTTCAATTTTATGCTTTTAAAATAACTGCATTATTACTATTATCATCGGTTGTGATATTATTATTGTTACTGCCAAATATTTCGTTCATTTTAACAACAGGAGAATGCTCTTGAAGAAGATTTTGTGTTTCAGCAAGCCTACAATGAAAAAATTAAGATATATATATATATATATATATATATATATATATATATAGTTCAGTTTGTAGGTTTTCGTGGAGATCGGTCTTATTTGTAAGTTTTACTTGTCACAGACTGATCTTAGTTTCGAGATTATTGAGAACCGGAAAACCCTAAATAACTCGATTCGTCTTAGTTTGGGACTCCTCAGGAGTGCACATCTACGACCATGCCAGGGATCGAATTCAGGACCATCAACACAGAAGCCAATGCTTAACCAGTAGAATCACTGATTTAAGCTTTAATGATTCAATTTGAACTTCAAAGAGTCCCATACTGAGACAAGACCACTGATCATTGCTTTCCGGCTTTTACTCCTAGCCCAACTGAGATCAGGCTTAGACGAATACGAATTACTGAAACACATATTTATGGTAAAATGACTAACCGAATGACTAAACATGGTTTACATAACGAAATAACACCAGCTATAAATTTACATAGGAGGTATTGGATAACTGAGAGACATAAGGGCTCTGACTGTATAATGTTGGAGTCACAAACTAAAAAAACGAATGTTTAATATGAGTGGTTTTCAAGAATCCTCTAACCGGTTATAGAAGATTGTGATGAAAACTAGCTTCAAACTACAGGAGTCATTTTACAAAACATCTAAGTAAAATATTAGGAATATTATGGGCGAATGCGTTTCGATTCATCTAAATGCAAAATACTGCTGCTGCAGGACTGGTCTGCGTAATTTTCTATCTTGATCATAGGAAGTGAAGTATTTCAGTACGTTCACTGGTTGGTCGCTATTTAACGAAAGCTCTGTTGGTTTCTACCAAAGTGCATCACATGTGTAGGAGGCGAGGTGTCCATCTGCCAATCGTATATAGTTCAGGATTTGTGATTAGTCATAGAGATATAACCAGTCAGTGACTGAAAATTCCAAGTAATATATCTCAGAACCAACTATCTCGGCGAAGATGTACTTACTTCTTTTTCAACAGGTCTTGGAAATCATATTGATCCTCAAGTTTCATGTCATTGAATTATTTTGGTGAACTGATGAATTCATTTCTTTATGCTACTTCAAAGTGTAACAATTTGAACCAATGCATTTCTATTTGAGACTCTGTATATGTGTGGCCTTTGTTTACATATTGATTATCTTGGTTGTAAGATTTCTGTTGGTACGATAAGATCATCATGGAATATGAACTGTTATATGTAGCTTTGGAGGATTGATCTGTGAAACATTACATTTTACATGTTTAAACGAGAGACCGATGGCCACTTAGGCTTGTAACTTGACTCTCTTTACAAGTACAAGTTTGTGTACCCAGCTTTCAGTGACAATTTACATGTAGGAGTTAGTGATAACACTCTGCAGCCTAATCGAAGTAGATAGAGAGCGACTCAAACTTGTGACCTACAGACTGAAA